ACCCTTTAGTTGCTCAGACCCAAAACCCTAGAGCGGTCCTTGACTTGTTCACATCCCACCTCTAGCCTTGATGGCTCCACCTTCAAAACTGTCTGCAACCCGAGCACTTCTCACCATCTCCACAGCCACCTCCCTGATCAATAGCGGCAGCCTCCTCACCGGTCTCCTCCCTTCCATCCTGGCCACACCATCCTTCTAGAGCAAGTCGGATGATGTCACTGCTCTGCACACAGCACACAGAGTACCAAAGTTCTCACGATCACGTACGAGGCCCACTGCAAGCCGGCCCCCACTCCCATCACCTCTCTGTCTTCATGCCCCGCTAGGCTCCTCGCATCAGGCACACCCCCACCTCAGGGCCTTTGCACCTGCTGTTCCATCTGCGCATTCCCTCGTGGCCCGGTGAAGCCTCCTCTGATCCTACGTAAAGTGCAACCACCCATCTACCCTCTACCCCTCACTGACGCTTGACTGCTTTAACTTATCTCTATGGCACTTATCAGCAATCTGACATATTATACATGTGTTTGCTTACTTGTTTTTTGTCCATCTCCCCCATGAAGGCAAGGATTTTTACCTGCTTTGTTTACCTCCATTTTCCCAGAGCCTAGACTAACACAGACTAGGGATTCGTGCTGAATGAATGACTGAATGGGCCTCGATGCCATCTCCTATTTCCAGGATGAAATGTAAATGTTGGGTTCTCAATCTGAGGTCCCAAAGCTTGATACAGGTATTTCCCTATATCTGTATTCATCCGTTATTCTTGCTTCACAAAGAGGTATCTCACTTCCTGCTTGAGCCTAAATCATCCACCTGGGCTCCTGGGCCTATATCCCCTCTTACCTCCTTAGAGACCTTATTCTAGCAACTTCTTTCTTTCTCTTACATTCTTTTTCTTATTTCTTTTCCCTCCATATTCAACCTCTGTTTCTCCTCTAAAAACATTCTCCTGCCTCTTAGATTTACAAAAAGAAAAAAAGGAAAAAACAGGCTCTCAATATCTTGCTACCCTCTTTAGCTACTGTCGTCTTCCCTTTTATCACACAGCCACTTGAAAGAATAGTTGACATCCTGTCTGTACTCTCCCTGCACTCGCTCTTCACTCCTGCAGTCTGCTTTCTGTCACTCTCTATATGCCTTTGAAAATCCCTGGGGCCACCTAATTGGCACGCCCAGTGAACTTCTCCCAATCCTCTTCCTCGTGATCCCTCTGCAGTGACACTGCGAACCCCCCACCCCTCCCCCTGGAAACCCTCCACCGTCTTCACTTCTGCGGTGACCCACTGTCCCTGTCTTCTCTCACTGTCCTGAACATTCCGTCTCAGTCCCCTTCCTCTCTCTTCTCCTCAGGGCCATTTCGTCCTACTTTTCTCTCCATGCCCCCTGACACAGAGATCTCATCCATGCCCAAAGCTGTGACCTACATCTTTGCGAGGATGACTCCAAAATCAGTAGTTTTTCCACTCTTTCAAGCTCCAGTTCCAAATGTTTAGCTGCTTTCCATACATCTCTCCTACCTGCAGGCTCACCGTCACCTCCAGACTCAACACAGGGAACACTGGCATCTCCATCTCACACAAAATCCACTTGTCCTCCTAACTCTGGGCTGGTTAGTGGAACTAGCATTCTGCCCCTATTCGTGGAGCCTCAGAATAATCGTTGATGTCTTCCTCTCCTTCACCCTCTACATCCAATCAACTTGTAAATGCATTGGTTCTACTCCCGCGGCGTCCTTGACACTTTTCTTTTTCATCTCCACGGTCAGCAGCTTAATGCAATCCCCCAACCCAGTCTACCTAATAAGCAACTACACCTCCCTAACTCAAACAAAGTCTCCTCTTTTGCACCCTTCCTGCCCGGATTCACCAGCTACATCTTCCTAAATTACAGCTTTGATCATGGCTTTCTCCCGACTAAACACAGTCATGGGTTCCTACATTGCCACCAGGTAAGATTCAAGCTCCTTGGTCTGGTATTTTAAGACCAACCAGAGGCAGGCCCCAGGCTACCTTTCTTGGCCTCTCACACTACCTAAATTGCTCTCAACCTACTCTATCCATCAAACACTTCTGCCTTCGTGGCTTCACTAAAAACCCTCTCTCTCCTATGACGCCACCCACTTTCAAACTCCCACTCATCTTCCAAGGCTCTATCTAAAACCCACACGCAACTCACTCCTCAATCTCCCCAGCGGATACTGATCTTTCCTTTTTCTTCATTCCCACAGAACTTTCCCCATGTCTCACTTATTAGGAATGACTTCATTTTAAAGTTCTAGTTCTTTTTCCCCTGACTAAACTCCAGACTCCTTTAAGGATAAGATTCACACCTGATTTCCAGCATGCACTGAAATCTCTACCTCTAGAGACATCTGAGATCAGTCCAGTCACATAATCAGGATCATACGGTAACACGAACTCGACAACTCTGGCTTCTATCTCTTTTTCCTGCCTTCTTGCACTGGCTAGGGTATCCAATACAATGTTAAATGATAGCAGTGATACTAGGCATGTTTATTTTGTTCCTAGTGTAACAGGAATGCTTCTAACCTTTCACACGCAAGTGTGATGCATGCTACAGGCTTCTGGTGCCTACCCTTTATCAGGTTAAGAAAACTACCCCTATGTTCTCTGAGATCCAAGCTTAAATAAGATAGGAGGACCTGTCCGATCAAAGTGGAATGAGCCAGGGATATAGTATTAAGGTACAGAGGAGGTATTGAGCCTAGGGAAGAAAAGGCAGACCTGTGGGAGACAAGCCAGGAAAAACCAGATCAGGTTCATGGCCATGAAGAGGCTCTCCCTCGGGTCTAAGCTTCCTGAGTTACTCACGCTGAAGCTTATGTTCCAGCTTCTGGCAGAAGAATGTACAAGAAGCAGCAAGAAGCGGTCCTGGTCTATTCCCTGACTCCCATACTGTTGCACGCGATGATCCTGACAGTGCATCTGTACCTACACAAGCACGTCAGACACTCTGCAGGGCAAACAGGACCCGCTGACATAGGAAATACTTCCATATCAGGGCATGAACCAAAGAGGTCCCTTCATGGCCCTGGGGACCAAACATATCTGTCCTCTCTATGCATCTCATCCCTTCTCTGACTGAGGTAGAGAAGATGAAATTAGGGCTGGAGACAGAGATGCTGTACCAACGACGTCTCTCCCTTCCTGTGACTCCTTGGCAGCCAAAGCCTGAGCAGCTAAGGATATGGATGTTGACAGTCAAAACCTCAGAAGCCGGTAGGAGAGAAAAGGGCTGAGGGGAGACGCACTATAAGATGAACACACTTCTGGAGCCATTCAGGTATGGCTTCCTTTAGAGCAGGCTCCAGGAGAACTACACAGAAGGGTTTTCTGGTGGGGGGGGGGGGGGGAGAGAATTCACTCTGTTTCCCCAGAGAATCTGCCCCCCAGATCCTGCCTATCATTAGGCTAGAGGGTTACCATTCATCGGGCCACCTCAACTCTGTAAAATATTAAGAGGGCCACATCCCTCTCCCTTGACCAAAATCTGTGACAAAGAAGCCAGGGCCCACATGTGGGACAAAGCAAAAGACGGCAGCTCCCTGTGGACCACTCCATAAAGCATTTCACGTCTAGAGCTATAGAGCTACTCATCCCGTGTTTGACTCCCCACTAAAAGCAATGATGTTCTCGTGGGCCAGCTCTCTAGGCGAGGTGAGACCCTGATTACCAACTTCCATGGTGTAAATACTTTCATGACGGCCAATTTGAAGTTGCTGACAGTGGAAGTGGGGACTGTGCTCTGCTCTGAAGCACAGCAGGGCATCTATGCCCCACACCCCAATCCTGAACCCAACCCAATAGCCAGCTGGCCTGCCCTCAGCTACTTCCCCAAGCTCACTGTCCATCCCCAGGGAGGGTGTCTCCTCTCTCCTACAGCTGGCACGGTGACTCGGCTTCCCCTAAATTTAGGGAAAAGGGTGGAGGGCAGAGACAGCCTCCCAGGCTCCTCTTCTTCTCCCTGAACTCCCACCACTCTGTCAGCTGAGGTGCTTGGCACAAGGTCCCCTAGCCCCAGTCTCTAGTCCATCCCCACCCGGCCTTACCTCCACAATGAAAAACACCCCCAGGATTTCCCACCCAGTGTGGCTGCCCCCATGGAATGGTCATAGGCTTAGGCCATTAAGAAGGAAGGGAGACCTTCTGGTCCCTCCCAACATGGCTCTGCACACTCGGCCATTTCTTGCCTTTATCTCCCCAGTGAGCTCTCTGGTCACCCCATTCTCTCTCCTCTCTCCAGGAAGATGAGCCCATTCTCTGACAGGAAACAGAGTTTGGTTCCTCAGTGCCTGCTTCTCATACAGAGCAGGTCCAAAAGCCGGGACTAACAGGACAGTTGAACAAGAAGGGGACCTTGGCCTCCCCACCAAAATGAGACATATCTTGAAAGGACCCACCAGGGTTGAACACTCGGGTAGAGCCCAAGGCCTTTAGGACACCCTTTCTATCTTTGTTATGCCTCTGAGTCTACAGAGGCCTCCCTCCAGCCTTCTCCACACCTTCCCCCTGGGAACTGAAGTCTGAGGACAGCAGGCAGTTGCAGAAAGCATCTTCTCTCTGCATAGAGAATCTGTACTCCAGCCCCAAAGTCACCACTTCCAAGAAGCTTTCCCTGATTGCCCTAGGTGCTAAGCCTTGCTTTCCCTCCAGCTCTGGGGCTTTGGTCCCCACCTCTGTCACAGCACACTTTACATTCCTGCGTAGCTGTCCCTTAACTAGACGGTAAACTCCCTGAAGGCAGGAACTGAAAGACACTGATCTTTGAATCTCAATGCCTGGCTTACAGCCTAACAGACAACCAATGCAGGAAGGGACGGCTAGGACGAGGCTCCTGACAGCCTCTCCTCCAGGTCCAAGCGGCACCTGCCAAGGGGCGACGGCTGTGCCTACACCTCCTCCCCGCAGTGAGACCAACCAAGACCAAAGAGGGAAGGGGAGGGGATTCCTAAGACTGATGGCCCACGAGGCCCTTACCTGCTACCCGGTGGGCCACCAGCCCCTCCAGGTTCAGTGGCTCCTCTTCTGGAGTGCGGGAGGGGTCTGAAGTCACCTCCTTTGGTGGGAGCTGAGGCTGAGCAGTGAGGCCAGGGAGAGAGGCTGGGGGCTGCTGAGGCCCTGGAGGGCTATGGGTAGTTGGAAGGAAGGCAGACGAGGAGGAGGAGGCTGGGCTCTTTGGACGGAAACTCTGGTTGGGCCCACCTGGACACGGCTGATAATCGTAAGGTGAGTAAGCCCTGCCAGGGGGGAAGGACTCCAGGGAAGCCCGTGGGGCCGGCTCAGGGGCTCCCAAAGAATGCCCACTGGGGATGTAGCCAGATCTGGACTGGGTCAGTGGATGGGGCTGACAGGAGGAGCCGGAGAGAGGCTGGGAGGACAGCGGGGAAGCCCCTGGCCAGGCCCCTGGGACACTCTGGGACTTGTGCAGGGGGGCAGCGGCCGTCGGTTCCAAATCCAGCATGAGCATGTTGAGTGTTTCGATGGACTGCTCGATCTCCTGCTGGGAGGCTGCTCTTGGGAACTCAGGGAGGCCGGGGATGGGGGTCTCTGCCAGCGGCTGGGGGCTGGGCCTACTGGGCCCGAGACTCTCCAAGTAGACTCTATCCTGCTGGCGAGGAGGGGGACGAGGCTGCTGCTGCTGCTGCTGCTGTGGCTGCTGCTGCTGTTGCTGCTGCTGCTGCTGCTGCTGCTGCTGCCAGGAATTCAGGCCCCTCTGCACAGCCTCCCGGCTGCTGCCCCCCCGGGCCGGAGCTGGGGGCAACTGGGGCTCGGTTTCTGGAAAGGACTGAGAGCGGAACATACCGCTGGGGTCATGGCCATAGTGGGAGGTGGTCATTGGCTGCGGCCAGGCTGGGTGGGGCCCCTCCCGCTGGTAGCCGGCTAAACCCTCCTGTGCGGAGTAGGAGGGCCGCATGGGGGCCGTGTGGCCAGCGTGGGCAGGCACCGACCGGCTGGCGGACTCATAGGCGTAGCCCCCACCGTTGACCATAGGTTCCGCGGGATAGGGCTTGTCCAGACCGTTGGTCAGTGAGGACAGGGCCTCTGGGTAGCCCCCCTCACTGGTGTTGGTGACCCCATCCAGGGAGGACAGTGTGCCCATGCTGCCCACGCTGTGCCCATCCTGGTTGGGCAACTCGTCATCCAGGATGTCCGTCTCCCGCTCAGATGCCAAGGCCCCACCGTTGACGTGAACCTGGGCCGGGACGACATGGCGGCCAGGGGAGGGCACGGCAGGGCCCCCCGCTGGGCGGGACCGGAGATGCTGGGTATGGTACATGGCGCCTTGCTTCTCTCTCTCTACGCCGAAGCCGCTGAGCAGACGGTCCAGCTCCCGCTTCTCCTCAGGACTCAGGGCAGCAGGGGCACTGGAGGGGCCAGGGGCAGGCTCATCGGTCTTGTCTGTCTTGGTGGAGGCTGTGGAGTTGCCGGAGTCACTGCTCACGGAGAGGGTGTGCTCTACGTGGTTGGGGGTGGCCGACAGGACAGGACGCGTGGCATTGACGGCTCCGGTGCTGCCGTGCAGGGAGTCCTTCTTCTTCACCTTGGCATACAGGCTCCCGTCCAGAGGCCCCTGAGTGTGTCCCACCACCTCTGTAAGAGAGCCGCGGGGGGAACAACAATCAGCAGACGTCAGTGGGAGGCAATGACATCTCCTCCCCGAGGAAAGGAGCCAAGAGCTTCCGTTCCCTAGACCCTAAAATCTCCTCACACCACCCGAGATAGAGCTGAGGTCAGAGGATATAGGGGAGGAGGACAAAGGGACCCCTACCCCAGGCTCTTGGGCCCCAACACCCGGCTTCAGGGCCAAACAGCGAAGTCTAAGACTGGCTGGGGTGCTCTGGGAGCAAGATGCCCCAGTCCAAAGCCTGGCTCTGGTATCTCCCCAGCTTCCCAAAGACCTGGAGGTACTGGGTCAAGATGGAGTTCAGCCAAGCCAGCACTCCCCGCGCTTTCCCTCTGAATGCTGGGCTCATGGGCTTCTGGAAAGGGGGTTCAGGGGCCAGGGTGGCATGGGAAACATCTTAGGAATCCAGAACACAAAAGGAGATGTTCTCATCCAGGAAGGGTGTCCCCTGTGTCATTTTGTCTGCACACAGCTCTGGCGACCCCATGAGCAATACTTTCTCTGAAAGGAAAGAGTGAGCGCTGGGTGGCTCAGGGCCAAAGGGCTGACTCAGGAACGAAGAACTTCCCCACCCAGAGGGACTCGGTGATTTCACACCCTGTACAGTCAGCAGCCCAGCTTCCAGCCCCGACACACACACACGCGCGCGCGCACACACATACACACACGCACACACGCACAAGCACCTCCCCTCCCCTCACTCCGAGGCAGGCCCCCAGCTGGCAAGAAAAGAAAGTCCCCTCCCAAAAACTGCACAAACTCCAGCCAGACACCAACAGTCACACACACACCAACCACACACGGGAAAACCAGACACAAAGACATCCAGAGACACACACACACCAGCTCATAATCACCCAAGTCGAACACCCAGCGGCCAAATCAAACGCCCTGGTGTGCTCTTGAGGTACACGAGACAGGTGACCTCGAGACGCCAATCACCTTGCTAGGCACCTTTACACGCACATTATTTCTAATCCTGTGAGTCAGCGAGTTTTACACCTACTTTAAGGATGGGAGAAACTGAGGTTCACAGAAGTGAAACCATTTATCTGCAGATACACAGTATCTGGTAAAGCGAGGATTTAAAATCAGAGATTTAAAATCACTTAAAAGTCAATTAAAATACAACTAAATTAAAAGCAAAATTGAAATCAGAACTTTCTATTATTCCACATTCTCGTATCTCACACACACACACACACACACACACACACACACAGTAAAATAAACACATAAAAGGCAGCAATACCCAAAAATAAATACTTAAATTTAAAGCCACAATCATTCCAGAAAATACAAGCTCCTACCATGCCCAAGGATAGGCCCTCAGGCCAGAAGTGGCAGCCTCTAAAAATAAACACTCATACAGAAGCCCAAGGCCAAAAACAAGTGATCAGACAACCACAAAACAGGAACATCCTGATCAACACACACACACACACAAACCACAGGCCAACCAAATGACGTCACCGGGAGCAGGCACAGAGATGCCGGCAAGGCACACGGTCCACACACACCCCCCGGGGGCTGGATGCTCTGCCCATTCACTTAACTCTCCAGAACCATCTATCTGTCCCCAGTTTTCCCTGGGGCTTTGGGATGCCGGCCGGCAGCAGGCCCCAAGTGATAGGGGGCCAGAGTGTGGCCACAGCCCTAGGCTCACAGGGATGGGGTTGGTCTGAATCAGACATAGGTCTGAATCTCCAGCGGTCTGCTCCCTGTGCCAGGTCCCCCAATAGTTGTTAAGATGCAGATACAAGCATGGCTGCCTCTTCTAAGTGGCCTGTCACCATCCGTAAGGTGTCGAAGCTACTAAAGGAGAGAGGCTGTCCTTCGTGCCATGTCCTCTAAAGAACTGGGCTCCTTGCTACACCAAATAAGAGACCCCAGCTGACTGCTTCCCTAGCCGGAAGCATTGCCGACAAGGGCTCTCCTCCACTCAGACTTCCGAGGGTGGTGCCGTGAGAGTGGGCCCCTCGCAGCAGTCAGAGGAGGCTGGAGGGCTGTCCTTCCTTCTCTCTGTGCCTGGAAAGCTGCTGGCACCAGAGAAACAGGCCCATTCCGGGGCCCTGGCCCCACTCTGCAGCTCACACTGCGAGACGCCAGGTGCCTTCCGGGCCAGGGAGCTCCTGCATCCCCTGCACCTCCTAATCCCCCCAAGCCCATGCTCACGTGGTCTGGGAAGTGGGGGGGACAGCAAAGCAAAGGGTGGTGTGTCCAGTACGCTCCCCATCTGCACTTAGGGTCTATGAGAACCGCTGGGTGCAAACCAGTGCGAACCTGTAAGTATCTCCTTTCCTTCTGGGAGAAAGTGGACCCACTCCTGCATCTCATTCGGGTTCATAAAAGAAGAGCTTTTGGCAAGAGAGCTAAGAGAGCGTTCCCGGAGGCAGGGAAGAAGAATTCACACTAATTACCACTACCTGATATCTCGTCCCTTTTGGCCCCTTCATTGATTCTGACAACTCAAAATTAAGCTCATTCTGCCATGTAATCTACCCCCAAGGGGTCCACTGTTTGCAGCAACATCAGGAACAGTAACTGCCAGGCCACTGAGGCTGAGTAAGAAAATGGAAGAAGTAAAAATTGTTGAACTAAATCTTTTTTGTAAAGTAACAAACGGAAATGTCTATTGCTGTCTTCCAAAAAGGAGCCAGCTGCTTCTGACCACCCAGTGCTGGCTACATGTTCCGGGCTCTTCTGCACCTTCACTGGTCTTCCTTTTCACATCAGGGGGAGACAGTGAGGACCCCCCAGACCCATCCCGGGTCTGTCTAGTCCCTGTGAGGGTTCACTGAAACCCCAGCGTGTCAGCATGACCCCAGTGGAGGCACGCACCCCCGTTCCTTCTAAAGGAGATAAAGTGCTCCCCGCACCCCACACCGGTAAGCACATGCCCATCATTCCCTTCTGCCCATCCACCGTGGCCGCGTTAAGTGCTATTTAGCAGGACCACAAGAAGCCGGAACATAGTGCTGGTTTCAATCTATTAAGGCAGGAAGGGCAAAAGAGAGAGGCAGGCAGAGTAAGGAGGAGGGTGAAACAGAGAGCCAGAGAAGAGGGGCTTTAGAAAGGTGGGGGGGAGATGGCTTTGAGGCTCTAAACCTGAGGGGCCACCAGATTCAACTCACAGTCCCAGAAGCCTCCAGGGGCATGACCAGTTCAGGTAAATCCTCTCAGTTGAGAGGGTGCTGGGCATCCAGGGGCAGGGAGCAGGGGGCAGAGGAAGAACCTGCCTGGTTGGTGGGGCCGTGGGGACAGGAGGAACCTGTCACCAGCATGGGTGACGGTGGAACAGAAAGCTAAACTTCAGGGGAAACACGAGTTACAAGCAGCCCGGAGTGGAGAGCTCCCAGCCCCAAGGCCAAGCCAGCCAGAACGTCCTGTCTCATGGGCCTTCTCCCTGGCCATTGCTCTAGGGAAGCCGAGAAGCCTGCAGTCCTTTCAAGGCCCCACTTGCTTTGTCTGACTACATCTCCTGGCTCTCCCCAGCAGCTGCTCCGAACCCGCACTCCACCCTCGACGCTGAGCTTGATTGCACCAAGAGGCCCTTATTCCACAGCGGCCGTACTCCAGATGTGTGAGTCACGCTTTTGGAAAGCCCTGAGGAAAATCCCCAGCTGACTTGGATGTGGACCTACTCCCTAGGCTCCTGCCAGCAGGCCACGGAGGTGTGTGCGGTGCTAAAAGGCGCGGCACAGGCCAGGATGCAGGGAAGGAGGGACGCATCCATCCCATACGCTTCAACCAGAATGAAAGAAACACGGGTGCAAAGGTGATATGGGTTTAGGGCAGGTGTTTCCCAATTTTGATGTTCATAAGCATCTCCTCCAGGGATTGGTTAAAAACATGTAGATTCGGGGGCCCCACCCCCAAAGATTTTCACTATAGGTCTGGGGTGAGGCCAAAGAGCAGTGTATTAGCTCTCCCAAGGTTCTGGGGCTCACACAGGTGGATAACATCTTGGGAAACCCTGATCCCGGTGGTCAGCACTTTGGACTCTGAGATTAAGGATCCTCACTTCTCTTACTAATGTCTAGTGGAGAAATTTTCTTGTTTAGATGTCAGGACAGATGGCCTGACCATAAAGAACAAAAGGTGCCAGGGGCACCGGGGTGGCTCAGTAGGTTAAGCGTCCGACTTCGGCTCGGGTCATGATCTCACGGTCCGTGAGTTCGAGCCTCGCATCGGGCTCTGTGCTGACAGCTCGGAGCCTGGAGCCTGTTTCAGATTCTGTGTCTCCCTCCCTCTCTCTGACCCTCCCCCATTCATGCTGTGTCCTTCTCTGTCCCAAAAATAAATAAATGTTAAAAAAAATTTTTTTTAAATAGCAAAAGGTGCCAGGCTGATCGAGTGCAAGAAAGAAGTTTCCTTTAGTGATGATTCAGTGAGGAGCGACCCCTCCTTGTCTAACCTGCAGACCTGTTTTGAATAGTGAATGATTTATTAAGGTTTTCAGGATGGGGCCTTTCATGATAAAAAGTCTTTTGGGTCCACATCCAGCAGAACAGCAATTCATTAAAATATATTGCCCAGAGCAGTGATGACCAACCCTTGTGGAAGAAAATCAATGCCGTGCCAATAGGAAGAGGCACCGTGCCCACCGTGGACACAGGTAGCTCAGAGGCAGACCGGGGCCCCCGCAGACCCAAAGGGAATCTCAGCTCCTTACACACGGGAGTGGAGCATCAAAGGCCATGTGTGTCCAAGAAGCAGGTGAGCTTTGGGGCACCCGGGTGGCTCAATTGGTTAAGCATCCAACTCTTGGTTTCGGCTCAGGTCATGATCATGATCTCACGGTTCGTGAGATCGAGCCCCATGTTGAGTTCTGTGCTGGCAGTACGGAGTTTTCTTGGGATTCTCTCCCTCTCCCTGCCCTTCCCCTGCTTGTGTGTGCATGCTCTCTAAATAAATAAATAAATAAATAAATAAATAAATAAATAAATAAATAAGAAGTAGGTGA